GAGTTCTTTTTATTAAATCTTTCATCTTTGCAAAGTATGTGACATGTAAAGAACTAAAGCAAACATAATTATGTCTACACGGTCGTCATGTATGAAGTCTGATTTCTAAAGCGTAGGTAATTTGTCGAATGTAAAGCGAGATTATGAAACTATATTACTAACTTCACATAACAAATTAGATAAAGCACCATCTCGATAAAGTATGACAAACCATGCATGAGAAATCATAACTAAATTGATATACCAAATTTCTAACTATTGACAATAAGCTGCCTGGTAAAGGAAAGCAAAATCTGTTTAAAGGTATGGGAGAGGTGAAATAGCATACTTTAGTACTAAAAATAAGAATCTGTGAAAATTTATGTAGGGGGGATAGCTTATCCATTCATGCATCACCTCCAATTTTTGCCGACGCCACTTTTGACTAATCGCTGTGAGTCTAACAAAATGTTGTTGATTGTATTAAGCAAACCATTAATTTTAAAAGTAAGAACATTTGTAAAATAAGCAAATGTTGAACACAGGAAAAATGTATTTACACAGAGAAAGACGCAACCGAATCTATTTTTGGGAAATGTTGATTCTTGCAACACAGTGAGCTTTTAAAATTATACTTTTGATCATGTTTAACAGTTTAAAGGTTTACTTTTATTTCAACCTTTACTGTTGTATCCACAGTGTCTTTATTAATCATAAGTAATTATAATTACGTGCAATTGACGTTTGCTATTTATTCCTAATTTACAATGGTTTATTCAATAACAAAGATTTTTTATAATAAGAACTGAGTTGTGCAAAAATATACATGTATGGAATTTTTCATTAATGAAGGAAAAAAAATCCATTCACAGTTGCGAAAATCGTGTCTTAATCATTAGAATTCAAATCCTGTTTTGGATATATGATTCTCTATTCCTGAGTTAAAACTTGTGAAACTTTATAAGATTTTGCAGTACTCCTTTGGAATTTGAGTAATCTCAATGTTATTATGTACTCTGCATGAGGTTCTTATTTATGTATTTTTATTTCTATAACAATTGTTTTTAGTCAGTGATATATACTTAGTTATATAACTAGAATGTTCTACATAGACGTCATTAATGTTTTATAACACTGTTTGTTGAAAGAGATCCTGACTCACTCTTCATCTTCGTTCACTATTTAAATGTGTTTATGTAACAAAATTTACATGAATGAAAGATTGATGTAACAATAAGGTATGAACTATGATCACCATTTTTAAACTGATATGTATGTGGTCGAGTTCTTTTTATTAAATCTTTCATCTTTGCAAAGTATGTGACATGTAAAGAACTAAAGCAAACATAATTATGTCTAAACGGTCGTCATGTATGAAGTCAGATTTCTAAAACGTAGGTAATTTGTCGAATGTAAAGCGAGATTATGAAACTAAATTACTAACTTCACATAACAAATTAGATAAAGCACCATCTCAATAAAGTATGACAAACCATGCATGAGAAATCATATTTAAATTGATATACCAAATTTCTAACTATTGACAATAAGCTGCCTGGTAAAGGAAAGCAAAATCTGTTTAAAGGTATGGGAGAGGTGAAATAGCATACTTTAGTATTAAAAATGGGAGTCTGTGAAAATTTATGTAGGGGGGATAGCTTGTCCAATCATGCATCACCTCCAATTTTTGCCGACGCCACTTTTGACTGATCGCTGTGAGTCTAACAAAATGTTGTTGATTGTATTAAGCAAACCATTAATTTTAAAAGTAAGAACATTTGTAAAATAAGCAAATGTTGAACACAGGAAAAATGTATTTACACAGAGAAAGACGCAACCGACTCCATTTTTGGGAAATGTTGATTCCTGCAATACAGTGAGCTTTTAAAATTATACTTTTGATCATGTTTAACAGTTTTAAGGTTTACTTTCATTTCAACCTTTACTGTTGTATCTACAGTGTCTTTATTGATCATAAGTAATTATAATTGCGTGCAGTTGATGTTTGCCATGTATTCATAATTTACAATGGTTTATTTAATAACAAAGGTTTTTTATAATAAGAACTGAGTTGTGCAAAAATATACATGTATGGAATTTTTCATTAATGAAGGAAAAAAAATCCATTCACAGTTGCGAAAATCGTGTCTTAATCATTAGAATTCAAATCCTGTTTTGGATATATGATTCTCTATTCCTGAGTTAAAACTTGTGAAACTTTATAAGATTTTGCAGTACTCCTTTGGAATTTGAGTAATCTCAATGTTATTATGTACTCTGCATGAGGTTCTTATTTATGTATTTTTATTTCTATAACAATTGTTTTTAGTCAGTGATATATACTTAGTTATATAACTAGAATGTTCTACATAGACGTCATTAATGTTTTATAACACTGTTTGTTGAAAGAGATCCTGACTCACTCTTCATCTTCGTTCACTATTTAAATGTGTTTACGTAACAAAACTTACATGGATAAAAGATTGATGTAACAATAAGGTATGAACTATGATCACCATTTTTAAACTGATATGTATGTGGTCGAGTTCTTTTTATTAAATCTTTCATCTTTGCAAAGTATGTGACATGTAAAGAACTAAAGCAAACATAATTATGTCTACACGGTCGTCATGTATGAAGTCTTATTTCTAAAACGTAGGTAATTTGTCGAATAAAGCGAGATTATGAAACTATATTACTAACTTCACATAACAAATTAGCTAAAGCAGCATCTCGATAAAGTATGACAAACATGCATGAGAAATCATATCTAAATTGATATACCAAATTTCTAACTATTGACAATAAGCTGCCTGGTAAAGGAAAGCAAAATCTGTTTAAAGGTATGGGAGAGGTGAAATAGCATACTTTAGTACTAAAAATGGGAATCTGTGAAAATTTATGTAGGGGGGATAGCTTATCCATTCATGCATCACCTCCAATTTTTGCCGACGCCACTTTTGACTAATCGCTGTGAGTCTAACAAAATGTTGTTGATTGTATTAAGCAAACCATTAATTTTAAAAGTAAGAACATTTGTAAAATAAGCAAATGTTGAACACAGGAAAAATGTATTTACACAGAGAAAGACGCAACCGACTCCATTTTTGGGAAATGTTGATTCCTGCAACACAGTGAGCTTTTAAAATTATACTTTTGATCATGTTTAACAGTTTTAAGGTTTACTCTCATTTCAAACTTTACTGTTGTATCTACAGTGTCTTTATTGATCATAAGTAATTATAATTACGTGCAGTTGATGTTTACCATGTATTCATAATTTACAACGGTTTATTTAATAACAAAGGTTTTTTATAATAAGAACTGACTTATGCAAGAATATACATGTATGGAATTTTTCATTAATGAAGGAAAAAATCCATTCACAGTTACGAAAATCATGCCTTAATCATTGGCATTCAAATCGTGTCTTAGATAGATGATTATTTATTCTTGAGTTAAAACTTGTGAAACTTTATAAGATTTAGCAGTAGTCCTTTGGAATTTGACTAATCTCAATGTTATTATGTACTCTGCATGAGGTTATTATTTATGTATTTTTATTTCTATAACAATTGTTTTTAGTCAGTGATGTATACTTAGTTATATAACTAGAATTTTCTACATTAATGTTTTATAATACTGTTTGTTGAAAAAGATCCTGACTCACTCTTCATCTTCGTTCACTATTTAAATGTGTTTACGTAACAAAACTTACATGGATAAAAGATTGATGTAAAAATAAGGTATGAACTATGAGCACCATTTTTAAGCTGATATGTAATTAGTCGAGTTCTTTATATTAAATCTCTCTTCCGTTTGTTGAGTATGTGACACGTAAAGAACTAAAGCAAGCATAAATTTGTTCACACGGTCGTCATGTATGAAGTCTTATTTCTAAAACGTAGGTATTTTGTTGAATGTAAAGCGAGATTATGAAACTATATTACTAACTTTACATAACAAATTAGCTAAAGCACCATCTCGATAAAGTATGACAAACCATGCATGAGAAATCATATCTAAATTGGTATACCAACTTTCTAACTATTGACAATAAGCTGCCTGGTAAAGGAAAGCAAAACCTGTTTAAAGGTATTGGAGAGGTGAAATAGCATACTTGAATATGGAAAAAATGCGAGTCTGGGAAAATTTATTTAGGGGGGATAACATGTCCAATCATGCATCACCTCCAATTTTTGTCGACGCCAATTTTGACTAATCGCTGTGTGTCTAACACAATTTTGTTGATTGTATTATGCAAACCATTTATTTTAAAAGTAAGAACATTTGTAAAATAAGCAAGTGTTGAACACAGGAAAAATGTATTTACACGGAGAAAGACGCAACCGAATCTATTTTTGGGAAATGTTGATTCATGCAACACAGTGAGCTTTTAAAATTATACTTTTGATCATGTTTAACAGTTTAATGGTTTACTTTCATTTCAACCTTTACTGTTTTATCCACAGTGTCTTTATTAATCATAAGTAATTAGAATTGCGTGCAGTTGATGTTTGCCATGTATTCATTATTTACAATGGTTTATTCAATAACAAAGGTTTTCTATAATAAGAAATGAGTTGTGCAAAAATATACATGTATGGAATTTTTCATTAATGAAGGAAAAAATTCATTCACAGTTGTGAAAATCGTGCATTAATCATTGCCATTCAAATCCTGTCTTAGATAGATGATTCTCTATTCCTGAGTTAAAATTATGAAACTTTATAAGAATTAGCAGTAGTCCTTTGGAATTTGACTAATGTCAATGTTATTATGTACTCTGCATGAGGTTCTTATTTATGTATTTTTATTTCTATAACAATTGTTTTAGTCCGTGATGTATACTTAGTTATATAACTAGAATGTTCTACATGGACGTCATCAATGTTTTATAATACTATTTGTTGAAAGGGATCCTGACTCACTCTTCATCTTCGTTCGCTATTTAAATTTGTTTACGTAACAAAACTTACATGATAGAAAGATGCAACAATAAGGTATGAACTATGATCGCCATTTTTAAGCTGATATGTATGTGGTCGAGTTCTTTTTATTAAATCTCTCATCTTTGAAAGTATGTGACATGTAAAGAACTGAAGCAAACATAATTATGTCTACACGATCGTCATGTATGAAGTCTTATTTCTAAAACGTAGGTAATTTGTCGAAAGTAAAGCGAGATTCTGAAACTATATTACTGACTTCACATAACAAATTAGATAAAGCACCATCTCGATAAAGTATGACAAACCATGCATGAGAAATCATAACTAAATTGATATACCAAATTTCTAACTATTGACAATAAGCTGCCTGGTAAAGGAAAGCAAAATCTGTTTAAAGGTATGGGAGAGGTGAAATAGCATACTTTAGTACTAAAAATGGGAATCTGTGAAAATTTATGTAGGGGGGATAGCTTATCCATTCATGCATCACCTCCAATTTTTGCCGACGCCACTTTTGACTGATCGCTGTGAGTCTAACAAAATGTTGTTGATTGTATTAAGCAAACCATTAATTTTAAAAGTAAGAACATTTGTAAAATAAGCAAATGTTGAACACAGGAAAAATGTATTTACAAAGAGAAAGACGCAACCGACTCCATTTTTGGGAAATGTTGATTCATGCAACACAGTGAGCTTTTAAATTTATACTTTTGATCATGTTTAACAGTTTAATGGTTTACTTTCATTTCAACCTTTTTTGTTGTATCCACAGTGTCTTTATTAATCATAAGTAATTAGAATTGCGTGCAGTTGATGTTTGCCATGTATTCATTATTTACAATGGTTTATTCAATAACAAAGGTTTTCTATAATAAGAACTGAGTTGTGCAAAAATATACATGTATGGAATTTTTCATTAATGACGGAAAAAAATTCATTCACAGTTGTGAAAACCGTGCATTAATCATTGCCATTCAAATGCTGTCTTAGATAGATGATTCTCTACTCCTGATTTAAAAATTATGAAACTTTATAAGAATTAGCAGTAGTCCTTTGGAATTTGACTAATGTCAATGTCATTATGTACTCTGCATGAAGTTCGTATTTATGTATTTTTATTTCTATAACAATTGTTTTTAGTCCGTGATGTATACTTAGTTATATAACTAGAATGTTCTACATGGACGTCATCAATGTTTTATAATACTATTTGTTGAAAGGGATCCTGACTCACTCTTCATCTTCGTTCGCTATTTAAATTTGTTTACGTAACAAAACTTACATGATAGAAAGATGCAACAATAAGGTATGAACTATGATCGCCATTTTTAAGCTGATATGTATGTGGTCGAGTTCTTTTTATTAAATCTCTCATCTTTGAAAGTATGTGACATGTAAAGAACTAAAGCAACTATAATTATGTCTAAACGGTCGTCATGTATGAAGTCTTATTTCTAAAACGTAGGTAATTTGTCGAAAGTAAAGCGAGATTCTGAAACTATATTACTGACTTCACAAAACAAATTAGATAAAGCACCATCTCGATAAAGTATGACAAACCATGCATGAGAAATCATAACTAAATTGATATACCAAATTTCTAACTATTGACAATAAGCTGCCTGGTAAAGGAAAGCAAAATCTGTTTAAAGGTATGGGAGAGGTGAAATAGCATACTTTAGTACTAAAAATGGGAATCTGTGAAAATTTATGTAGGGGGGATAGCTTATCCATTCATGCATCACCTCCAATTTTTGTCGACGCCACTTTTGACTGATCGCTGTGAGTCTAACAAAATGTTGTTGATTGTATTAAGCAAACCATTATATTTAAAAGTAAGAACATTTGTAAAATAAGCAAATGTTGAACACAGGAAAAATGTATTTACACAGAGAAAGACGCAACCGACTTTATTTTTGGGAAATGTTGATTCCTGCAACACAGTGAGCTTTTAAATTTATACTTTTGATCATGTTTAACAGTTTAATGGTTTACTTTCATTTCAACCTTTACTGTTGTATCCACAGTGTCTTTATTAATCATAAGTAATTAGAATTGCGTGCAGTTGATGTTTGCCATGTATTCATAATTTACAATGGTTTATTCAATAACAAAGGTTTTATATAATAAGAACTGAGTTGTGCAAAAATATACATGTATGGAATTTTTCATTAATGACGGAAAAAAATTCATTCACAGTTGTGAAAACCGTGCATTAATCATTGCCATTCAAATGCTGTCTTAGATTGATGATTCTCTACTCCTGATTTAAAAATTATGAAACTTTATAAGAATTAGCAGTAGTCCTTTGGAATTTGACTAATGTCAATGTCATTATGTACTCTGCATGAAGTTCGTATTTATGTATTTTTATTTCTATAACAATTGTTTTTAGTCCGTGATGTATACTTAGTTATATAACTAGATAGTTCTACATGGACGTCATCAATGTTTTATAATACTATTTGTTGAAAGAGATCCTGACTCACTCTTCATCTTCGTTCGCTATTTAAATGTGTTTACGTAACAAAACTTACATGAATGAAAGATGCAACAATAAGGTATGAACTATGATCGCCATTTTTAAACTGATATGTATGTGGTCGAGTTCTTTTTATTAAATCTCTCATCTTTGAAAGTATGTGACATGTAAAGAACTAAAGCAACTATAATTATGTCTAAACGGTCGTCATGTATGAAGTCTTATTTCTAAAACGTAGGTAATTTGTCGAAAGTAAAGCGAGATTCTGAAACTATATTACTGACTTCACAAAACAAATTAGATAAAGCACCATCTCGATAAAGTATGACAAACCATGCATGAGAAATCATAACTAAATTGATATACCAAATTTCTAACTATTGACAATAAGCTGCCTGGTAAAGGAAAGCAAAATCTGTTTAAAGGTATGGGAGAGGTGAAATAGCATACTTTAGTACTAAAAATAAGAATCTGTGAAAATTTATGTAGGGGGGATAGCTTATCCATTCATGCATCACCTCCAATTTTTGTCGACGCCACTTTTGACTGATCGCTGTGAGTCTAACAAAATGTTGTTGATTGTATTAAGCAAACCATTAATTTTAAAAGTAAGAACATTTGTAAAATAAGCAAATGTTGAACACAGGAAAAATGTATTTACACAGAGAAAGACGCAACCGACTCCATTTTTGGGAAATGTTGATTCCTGCAACACAGTGAGCTTTTAAAATTATACATTTGATCATATTTAAGAGTTTTAAGGTTTACTTTCATTTCAACCTTTACTGTTGTGTCTACAGTGTCTTTATTGATCATAAGTAATTATAATTACGTGCAGTTGATGTTTACCATGTATTCATAATTTACAACGGTTTATTTAATAACAAAGGTTTTTTATAATAAGAACTGAGTTGTGCAAAAATATACATGTATGGAATTTTTCATTAATGAAGGAAAAAAAATCCATTCACAGTTGCGAAAATCGTGTCTTAATCATTAGAATTCAAATCCTGTTTTGGATATATGATTCTCTATTCCTGAGTTAAAACTTGTGAAACTTTATAAGATTTTGCAGTACTCCTTTGGAATTTGAGTAATCTCAATGTTATTATGTACTCTGCATGAGGTTCTTATTTATGTATTTTTATTTCTATAACAATTGTTTTTAGTCAGTGATATATACTTAGTTATATAACTAGAATGTTCTACATAGACGTCATTAATGTTTTATAACACTGTTTGTTGAAAGAGATCCTGACTCACTCTTCATCTTCGTTCACTATTTAATTGTGTTTACGTAACAAAACTTACATGGATAAAAGATTGATGTAACAATAAGGTATGAACTATGAGCACCATTTTTAAGCTGATATGTAATTAGTCGAGTTCTTTATATTAAATCTCTCTTCCAATTGTTGAGTATGTGACACGTAAAGAACTAAAGCAAGCATAAATTTGTTCACACGGTCGTCATGTATGAAGTGTTATTTCTAAAACGTAGGTATTTTGTTGAATATAAAGCGAGATTATGAAACTATATTACTAACTTTACATAACAAATTAGCTAAAGCACCATCTCGATAAAGTATGACAAACCATGCATGAGAAATCATATCTAAATTGATATACCAACTTTCTAACTATTGACAATAAGCTACATGGTAAAGGAAAGCAAAACCTGTTTAAAGGTATTGGAGAGGTGAAATAGCATACTTGAATATGGAAAAAATGGGAGTCTTTAAAAAATTATGTAGGGGGGGATAGCATGTCCAATCATGCATCACCTCCAATTTTTGTCGACGCCAATTTTGACTAATCGCTTAATCGCTGTGTGTCTAACACAATTTTGTTGATTGTATTATGCAAACCATTTATTTTAAAAGTAAGAACATTTGTAAAATAAGCAAATGTTGAACACAGGAAAAATGTATTTACACGGAGAAAGACGCAACCGAATCTATTTTTGGGAAATGTTGATTCATGCAACACAGTGAGCTTTTAAAATTATACTTTTGATCATGTTTAACAGTTTAATGGTTTACTTTCATTTCAACCTTTACTGTTGTATCCACAGTGTCTTTATTAATCATAAGTAATTAGAATTGCGTGCAGTTGATGTTTGCCAGGTATTCATAATTTACAATGGTTTATTCTATAACAAAGGTTTTTCATAATAAGAACTGAGTTGTGCAAAAATATACATGTATGGAATTTTTCATTAATGACGGGAAAAAATTCGTTCACAGTTGTGAAAACCGTGCATTAATCATTGCCATTCAAATGCTGTCTTAGATAAATGATTCTCTACTCCTGATTTAAAAGAATAAGAATAAGAATTAGCAGTAGTCCTTTATAAGAATAAGAATAAGAATTAGCCGTAGTCCTTTATAAGAATAAGAATAAGAATTAGCAGTAGTCCTTTATAAGAATTAGCAGTAGTCCTTTATAAGAATAAGAATAAGAATTAGCAATAGTCCTTTATAAAAATTAGCAGTAGTCCTTTGGAATTTGACTAATGTCAATGTCATTATGTAGTCTGCATGAGGTTCTTATTTATGTATTTTTATTTCTATAACAATTGTTTTTAGTCAGTGATGTATACTTAGTTATATAACTAAAATGTTCTACATAGACGTCTACATAGACATGTTTCATAACACTATTTGTTGAAAGAGATCCTGACTCACTCTTCATCTTTGTTCACTATTTAAATGTGTTTACGTAACAAAATTTACATGAATGAAAGATTGATGTAACAATAAGGTATGAACTATGATCACCATTTTTAAACTGATATGTATGTGGTCGAGTTCTTTTTATTAAATCTCTCATCTTTGCAAAGTTTGTGACATGTAAAGAACTAAAGCAAACATAATTATGTCTACACGGTCGTCATGTATGAAATCTGATTTCTAAAACGTAGTTAATTTGTCGAATGTAAGGCGATATTATGAAACTATATTACTAACTTTTCATAACAAATTAGCTAAAGAAGCATCTCGATAAAGTATGACAAACCATGCATGAGAAATCATATCTAAATTGATATACAAACTTTCTAACTATTGACAATAAGCTACATGGTAAAGGAAAGGAAAACCTGTTCAAAGGTATTGGAGAGATGAAATAGCATACTTGTCTATGGAAAAAATGGGAATCTGTGAAAATTTATGTAGGGGGGATAGCAAGTCTAATCATGCATTACCTCCAATTTTTGCCGACGCCATTTTTGACTGATCGCTGTTTGTCTAACACAATGTTGTTGATTGTATTAAGCAAACCATTCATTTTAAAAGTAAGAACATTTGTAAAATAAGCAAATGTTGAACACAGGAAAAATTTATTTACACAGAGAAAGACGCAACCGAATCTATTTTTGGGAAATGTTGAGTCTTGCAACACAGTGAGCTTTTAAAATTATACTTTTGATCATGTTTAACAGTTTTAAGTTTTACTTTCATTGCATCCTTTAGTGTTATATGTATAGTGTTTTTTATTGATCATAAGTATTTCAAATTGCGTGCAGTTGATAATTAAAATGTATTTATAATTTACAATGGTTTATTCAATAACAAAGGTCTTTTTATAATATGAACTGACTTTAGCAATAATATACATGTGTGGAATTTTTGATTAACGAAGTGAATAAATCCATTTAAAGTTTTAAAAAATTGTGTTTTAATCATTCAGATTTACATCCTATTTTAAAAAGGTGATCCCTTTATTCCTGAATTTAAGCTAGTTAAACTTTATATAATTTAAGTAGTCCTTTGGAATTTGACTCATTTCAATGTTATTATGTACTATGCATGAGGCTCTTATGTATTTTTATTTCAATAACTATTGTTTTTTTAACAGTGATGTATACTTAGTTATATAGCTAGAATGTTCTACATACACCTCATTAAATGTTTTATAATACTTTTTGTTGAAGGAGATCCTGACTCACTCTTCTTGATCCTGACTCGTTCTTATATAATATCTTTCATCTTTTGTTAGGGGTGTGACATGTAAAGAACTAAAGCAAGCTTAATTTGGACGACGAGTTCGTCAGATATGACGTCTTACTTCTAAAACAAAGGTAATTTTACAAATGTAAAGCGAGATTTATAACTAAATTACCGACCTAATAAATTAGCAAGAAAAATCGAGATGAAGTATGAATAAACATGCATGAGAAATCATATCTAAGTCGATATACCAACTTTTTAACTATTTACAATAAGCTACATGGTAGGGAAAAACAGTAAAACCTGTTCAAAAGTATGGGAGGATGAATAGCATGATTGTACTTTCTACATGTAGGACGCTGAATTTTCTTTAATTACCTTTGCATCCATCTCTATTAGATACAGTTTCTAAAGAGACCTGCTTATGTGCAGTGGCTTTCTCTTGCTAACAACTTTGACTTCCGCTCCTCTGACTATATTATCTTTTCCCTTGATCAACCTCTCAATTGTCGCTATTTTTCAAAATCCTCTTTTTAAACTTTCCTCAAACACAAGAACTACATCACCTACTTTCGGACACAAACTACTCTTTACTTTGCCAACCTTATGACACTCCCTTAAACTTGTTAAGTATTCCTTCCTCCACCTGGACCAAAAATGCTTTCTCAATCTCGCTAAATACCTAAACCTACGCTTGACCTCTCCTGCATCTTCATCATTAATAGTATACAGAATTCCTTCGTCCGGAATAGATGTTAATCTTCTTCCAAATATAAGATGTGCAAGAGTCAGTACATCTACATAACTTCATCTTTGTATTCATAAGTCAATGGTCTAGAGTTTAACGTACCTTGTACCTCAACTAATATTGTTAACAATTCTTCCTTGTTCAATTTAGCGATACCCAACACTTTCCTTAGACAACCTTTCACCAATGTTACCATTCTTTCAAAAAATCCACCCCACCAAGGTGTCCTCGTTAAATTAAACTTCCATATCAACCGATTACCTTCCAAATATGATTTTGCTTCCATAAATTCATAAATCCCCTTTCACGCTTTCTCAGTTTCTTTAAATGTTTTGGCGTTGTCGGAAACAATTAGCGAGGGTACTCCCATTCTAGCAATAAATCTTCGCATGCAATTGAAAAAACAACGTGTACTTAAACTATCAACTAAATCAAGACAAATTGCTCTTGTAACACAGCAGGAAACTAATGCGATGTATACTTTAATTTGACTAAATTTGCCAAATTTTATCACACAATCTTTATCTACCACCTGTGTGTTAGCCAATACTGTCTTTACGACTTCCGCAAGACTTTCCTCTGTAGTTTTAACCTCTTTTGGCATTGGCCAATCACACTGGAGAACTGACAACCACTTCGGTCTCCTCCACCAAACTTCACTTTCCTTTAATTGTAATGCCGTAAATCAACATGAACCTAAGACCGCAGGGTTGTCTACACCCGGACAACGTTTACAATTATCCTACCTGCTCAATCTTAAAATCTCGTTAACTCTATGGCGCACAAACTGTTTCCATTCTCCCCTATCACCGATTCAGCACAATGCAGTCATACTGTCCAACCAATAGCTTGTCGTATTAAATTGAACGTAACCTTCCATGGCCTACTTCACTGCGTCCATCAACTGTGCTAATTTTCTAGGTGACATCATTTCTAGTCTGGGAATTGTCTGCAATTTTATTGGCGCTATCCTTGTTTTTGACGTAAGCAACTCTACATAGTAGGCACCGTTTAGCTCTGTCACAAAATATACGACCACACAGTATGGCTTTTGGCTGGCATCTGCGTACCCATGCAAGTAACACTTTACCTTACCAAGTAAATTACCATAGACACATCTCGCCACTACTAAGTCCCTGACTCTCTCTAAATCTTCTATCCACCTCTCCCAACGTTTTTTCTTGTCACCTTCGAGCTCATTGTCCCATTCAGCTTTCTCAATACACAGCTCCTGAAACAATAACATAGCACAAACTACAACTGGACTTATAATGATTAAGAGATCGAATAATCCTGCAGGTATACTTAGTATATTTCGTTTAGTTGAGACGATTGCAGGGGCATTGATAGTTGGGATCTAGGGTATGTCAAATCAGTCACGCGATATATGTTTATAGTTCAAAAATTATTTATCAAATTTAATGATTACAATTTTTTTTGATCATTAAATTTTCGTTCTGTAATCGTTTGGATTTCATTGTCAAAATTCTGTTTTATGTATGAAAACTTTTACAAATATCACCTTAGTAAACATATCAGTAGATAAAAACATATCTAGAATTATATTAACTGGCTGACTGATAAGCGGGATGGCTCGACTGGTTCGACCGATAACGGAGCTCAAGAACGCTAATTTAAGCCATTCCATTGGTCAATAGCCAGATCAGTGGACGATCTGGAATAATCTCGACCGATAAGCGGGGTGGCCGGACCTATAAGGGAGTCCAATTGCTACCGTATTTTTGTCATACTGTGATTGGTTTGACTGATTTCGACTAATAGCCAACTGAACTAACATAGTCAAGCTCACTGTCTGAATTGAATGTTTGATCGTTTCATAGTAATTTCTATAAGCATGATAGAAACTAAACTACAATCAGATGGAATTTATGGAAATCTTTTACAAATTCATATATTGACATGAATGCTGCTGTCCAAACTGTGAATTTTTTCAAGAGGGTGAAAAATTTATGGAAAAATTGTAAATGCTTGGCAAAGACCATCTCGCGAGCGACATTTCAGTCATTGATGTTCAAAAGAAAGCCAACATTGTTTTGAGTTTTATCAGCAGAAATTTACATCCAAAATCGTAAGTAAAGGACAAGTGAAGTGTATGCATGAATGTAATATATCAAAGTCAATTTATGCGAGTGTGTGATGCGATTTATGTCAATATGGCGTATGCTAAGCAAATAGATGCTTCTAAAATTGTTGTTGCCGAAAGACTTTTAGCTATGATTTCTTTAGTGCTTAGGGAATCGAGACCGTTATATATGACAGCGAAATCCTACATTCCTGCAATTATATTTCAATGGACAAAAAATCTGTAGCCATAAGGCGCCATACTATTGTTTACATTATCATAAACAAATGTTTGGGGCTTTTCAGTTTATGATCATTGATCATTCAATCATTGGACAGTTATAATACATATTGTTTAAGATTTGCGAAAACTAACATTGATTACATGAGAAGCTGTTTACTATAACCTGTGATTTTGAGTCTTCTGATCCATGAAGCTTTTTATTTTAAAAATTTGACTGGAATGGTATTAAACCTGAGTATTTCCCATACATGAAATGTTGTCACATATTGTCCCCTTTTCTAACTGAACACCTCATGTAGGGATGTAAAGGTGTGTTAATCCACAACTCATACCAGATTGTTTAACATAAATTCCAAAAGGCTATTGATGTATAAAAAGCATTTTTTATAAAGTAAAAATGTCTTCCTATGTATGCAAATAAACCTTGAAATTTGGCAAAACAGCAAAGTATTTTTCAAGATCATTTGGTAATTTTTTTGATGATCATTATAATTTCTAAACTAAATTATTTCAGATTTACATTTAAACGAGCTTTGATCATATGAAAAGATATTTATCATAACCAGTAAGCATGACACATGAACCAATTTTAACATTCATGTAATTATATAATTAATAACATGTTGGTTACATTCTGTTTGTATTTGCAACTACAATGCTACTAGTGATTGCTATATAGCATTACCTTGCATATACTTACAGAAGATAATAGTCTAGTGAAATGCCGAATAAACATAAATGGCATTAAGCTGTCCTTAATTGCAAATTTTCACTCTGATAATTTTTGCTTAATCCTTGGCAGCAAAAAATTTTGAGTTTTTTCTCAAAAGGTGAATTTGCTTGCACTGTATGTGGAGATGGTTAAAGGGTTACAATAAACTTACATGGTTTGAAGTCTGAGCTTTTCTATATCTATGAAATGTCCCTTGTAGCACCAAATTTCTAACTTAACTCATTACATAGAGGTTTGAATGGGGGTCTTTAGGGTGACAACTTGGTAGAAATTTTTAAAGACTATGTCTTTTTTGGAATAGTATTATTGTAAAACAAATTTTACGTTCGACGACATGCTGATGAGCCATATATTTGGCAAGATATTGAGCCTAAATATTTGGCAAACATTCAAGTATTTTACACTTAATTTTTTTTGAAAATAATCTAAGCAAAATGTGTTGTTTTTACGCAAAAATGATGCCCACAAAATACATTTATATTGCTCTAAAACGTGGAAAACAGCATTTTCAAGGCTTTGAAATTAAAAATTTCTCAGGGGAGAATGCCTCAGACCCCCCAGGTGCGGAGCGCCTCCGACGTTTTATGACTGATGTTTGAAAAATCCTAGATCCAACTCTGGACGATTGCATTTGCTCTTTCAGCCAATTTCCAGAGGCTAAATACAAAGCGATCCAACTTACACTCCCATCCCAATCCTAGTACTTTCTCAAAACTTCCACTGATGCTATTTTCCCCAACTGATGCTTTGGCATACGTTTGTTCATCAACCACTTTCGATTTACTAAAGTCTGCCCTTCTTTCTTCTAAAACGCTTCTTTCTCTCTTTTTTATTTCTTTCAAAACATTCTCATCGTTACTTAGCCACTTCCTAAGCCTAAATCCTACCGCAGCCAATCGCTTACTTTTGATTCATACAACCTCATTGCTTTCTTCTTGGATTGTTCACCGGACACTAGATCATCGACATAAAAGCTATCTTTGAGTTTTTTAACAAATTCCTTGTCTATCTCTATGAATGAGTCTAAATGAGACTGCAGTGTCGCATTCAACAAAAATGGAGAGCAGTTAACACAAATCGATATTCTAAAGGTCTCGCCCTCTAGTTGTTTACATCATCAACCCATAAAAAACTTAGGCAATCCCTGTCCAAAGTATCAACTTCTGTATTCAAAAATGCCTTTTCAATATCTGCCACTAAAGTGATTCTCTTCTCTCTAAACCAAAATATGAAAGAGCAATGGTGCTGATTTGGGTCCCACATGCAAGCAGTCATTGAGTGTGGAAGCCTTGGGTGACACTTTACGCAATATAAAAAACTCTTACCCTAGTTGTTTTTGCTTCCATGAGAATAACTGCATGATGTTGTGAATAATGTATTTTATCAGCTTTCTCTAGTTCTATCACTGGCTCTTTAATACCCCTCCTCAATTGATCTTTAATTGTCTTATCATACTTCTTCTAAAATTTCTGGTTCCCTTTTCAGCCGTACTAACTGACCCTTTAATCTTCTCAAGCTTATGCTGTAATCTGTATAATCTAAACTATGTCCTTCTTTCCAAGGCAATTTGACACTGTATCTGTTACCATTAAACACAATAGAATCCCTTAACGATTCATGAACTTCATCTCCTCCGCTATTCCTAAAGTTTCAAAATCCCACAAATGGTTGACATTTTTATCTAAACTTAAATTTCCTGAACTTTAATGTGCAATGAAGTTTACTTGAGTTTATTTGTTATTCAAATCATTTCTCGCTTTCATTCGGCCGGACAACACCCAACCTAACTTAGTAGACACAGCAACTTGTTCATCTACATGTCCCCGAACAACATCGTCTTTCTGAAACCACCAAATATAATCTGCTCCAATCAAAACTTCAATATCTAAAACTTCCTCATCCTTGCAAACATCTGAAAACCATAGACCCTTTAAATGCGAATAATCCATCTTTCTCAAATCTACATGTTCATTCCTAATTTGAGATATACAGTCTACACTATATGTCTCGATGCTTACATTCTATCCTCCCGTAACTGACAACAACTCTAAGTGAAATACCTCTCACAACTTACCTTTAGCCTTCTCTTGACCAAACGACTTGATTTGTATCCATTCCTTTCTACTAGCCTAAATACCAGCTCCCTGTATAATCTTTCTATTCACAAATGACTTGTGACTTCCTGAATCAAATAACACTCTGACCCTAACACATCCCTTATCTCCCTTAATAAAAGCCTGAGCTGTCTGTAATGCTACCCTACAATGAGATCCCAGAATAGAATGGCTGCTTTGAACATTGCCTGTGAGAATTCCATTGCCTTCATAAATTAACCTATGGTGTGCCTTCCCACATGCATTACATTTATCATTACTGTTAGAATTCTTACTGACATGTCTTTTTTTCAAACAAATAAAACATCTTCCGTACTTACGAATGAGTTGTTTTCTCTCAGTTACTTTGGTCATTTTCTTACATTCCTCCGGATTGTGTTCCCCGAGACAATAAACGCATTTTCTTTTTGCCTAACCGTTCATTGACTCCTCGTTGCAAATATCGTGCTTCGCGTGCAGTGTTGATGCTGATGCCATATGTCTTTGTCGCAACGTTTCTCGTTGTTTCTCCCCATACTGTCTTTCGGTCTTCTTGTCGATCGGTGTGTGAGCTTCTCAAAGCTCCAACTCTTAAGAACTGTGTTCAACGCATTATACGTTTGAAAAATACAATTTATGCTTTTACGTTCCTGGAAACTGTCCAACAAATGATGCATATGTTTACATAACCAATGTTTGTCTAAGTTTTGATTTAGATAAAACTGAAAGTAGGGTCAGTAAAAAACTTCTGTCCGTTGACAATAGCACACAACCAATCTTTCCTCTCTTACCAAGACGGCTAGAAGCTCCAGTATCTTCTTTTTTCTCTGAGTAGCACAACATAGGGATAGCTTACAGCATACTATCATAGTTTTTCTGAGCTTATTTACATTTCGCGTTAAATTCCATCAACCAAAACGCATTGTTTTATTAATGCAAAGTAAAAACTTTCGCTTCACGTACAATTTATTAATTATATAGTTAATCGTTTACCTTAGCTTATGCTTATTTATTTCAAATTAACAATTTTTAGGAAACAATTCATAGTTTCTGAAAAATAAAAAAGTATTTTTGCCAGTGCAAATCAATCTTCGTAGCCAATGGAAAACACAATTGTGCCATCCAGACAATGTGTCAGTTGTTAAAAATTATTAGAAAACAAGTATATTTCAAATGTAATATATCTTCGGAATATGTCTTCGTAATATGTCATCATCATAAGTCTGATGATGTCTTTGGAATAAAGACGAAATATTACACCATCTTTTCTTTCAAACTCTTGTAATATCTTGAATATCAAGAAAACGAGATGTCCCTCATCGGAATTTGTTTTATTTTGTATTAATGTAATATGTTGTTATTTAATTTTTGGAATTTCTTCATTTTAATCATGTTGATATATCATGTTGAATTTTTGTACAGATGGAATCTAAAGGAACAAGAAATCTGTCTTACATTCAGCAAATAATCAATGTTTTACAAACAAAACTTGCTCAATTTTTCATCAAAGAATGGAACTCTCGTTACAAATCAATACATGGAGAATGGGACGATACCAAAAATAGTGGCAAAAAATTTTGTACTTTAGAATCAGGTAAGAAGTTGGATGAAAAACTACAGTTAAAATATCAAGATGGAGACACCAGTAAGTGGGGCTGCACAACATTATTTGATGCTATACTTTATTCAAATTCAATTGGAAAGCCTCTTGACAAAAAAACAAAGGATGCTGTTCTTGCACTTCGTGGTGAAAGAAACAATTACGCACATTGGTATGAAGGGGAATGCTCAGATGATGATTTTGATAAAATAGTCAATATCATTGAAAAATCATTTCAAGATTTGAAATTTTCTCTCGATGAAATCATTGAAATAAAAAATCATCGAAACAGTTTTAATTCGTTCCAAGTTCTTCCTTCAAAACCTAATAATTTTATCGTTGAACGCACCGAATTACGAGATAAAATTATAAAAGATCTTGAAAAATTAAGGAATGATAACAATGATAAACTGACATACTTTTACATCACTGGTAATCCTGGCAGTGGTAAATCGCAACTTGCAAGACAGGTTTGTGAAAACATATCGTGTGATTGGAAAAATAGAACTTCGTTTGTAATGACTCTCGATGGAAAAAATGAAGAATCTCTTTTAAAAAGTTACTGTGAACTTGGATACCGTTTAAACTGTGACAAGTATATGATTAAAAAATTTGAAGATGAAAATTGTTCCATCGCAGACAAAGTGAAGAATTTGCGATCGTTAGTATCCACACGATTAAAATTCTGGCAAAATTGGTTGATCATTGTAGACAACGTGGTACAGCTCAGTAAAATTCCTTCGTTACTTCCCCAAGTAGGTGATCCCATGTGGATAAATGGACAAATCATAGTAACTATCCAGAACACATATGCCGTACCACAAGACAACAAGTTTAACAAACATATTTCTATCAGAAGTGGAATGAATGATAGGGAATGTTTTCAACTGTTGAAGCATTACATTATTGAAAATGAACAAGCTGATGATCAATTGTTGAATGAAGTATCACACGTATTAGATCGTCAACCACTGGCTTTGGCTGCTGCTGGTTTTTATGTCAGTCGTGTAAACAAAGCAAACTGCTCGTTTACTTGGAGACAATATTTAAAGAATATGTCTTCAGAAGAAGAAGAAAACATGAACACCACTTTTGTTAAATTTAACTCGGTGTATCCTAGAAGTATGTTACAAGCTTCACTTTTAGCTGTCAGACAAAATGCTGAAGAATCCTCAATATTGGCAAATGTTGTTAACTTTTTTTCCGTGATATCGTTTGATCCTATACCACGAGACATTATTGCTTTTTATGTTCAAGAAATTGATTCCAAACATTCAAAGGAAGAAATATGTCTTTATTTAAAGGACTGCTCATTGTTCTTGCATTCAGAAAATAATGACATTAGTCTCCATCGCATTGTTCACAAAGCAATTGTTGTTTATCAATCTGAACATTCAAAAGAAGAAAATGAAATGGAAACTATCGTTGATCAAATATGTAAAGCACTTTACATGTTTAAAGAAAGAAACGACGAAATCAAATTAATGCCACATCTTGAAAAAATTGTTCAATTATTAAAGACCAACAAGACAAAAATCAACATGAATACTTTAGAAGTTTTCGAATATTTTGTTGAGAGATTAAGACATTTTGGAAAGTACAATCTTGCTCTTGAACTATTGGATACATTTAAATCAGAAGAACGTTGTTATAACAAAGCTTGGTATTTTAGTATCCTCGGTGTTTTATACCATGACACCGGGAAATATAGCAACGCTAAAAATCATCTTGAAAAGGCTCTGGAAATTCGAAAACAATCGTTAGGTCCAAATCATGTTGATGTCGCTACGTCTTTAAGCAATCTTGGTTTAATACTTGATGAAACTGGAAACTACGACAAAGCTATAGAGGCTCACGAAAAAGCTCTAGAAATTCGAAAACAATCGTTAGGTCCAAATCATGTTGATGTCGCTGCGTCTTTAAACAATCTTGGTTTGGTGCTTAAAAAAACTGGAAACTACGACAAAGCTAAAGATTGTCACAAAAAAGCTCTGAAAATTCGAGAACGATCGTTAGGTCCAAATCATGTTGATGTTGCTGGGTCTTTAAACAATCTTGGTATGGTGTTTGATGAAACTGGAAATAACGACAAAGCTATAGAGTTTTACGAAAAAGCTCTGGAAATTCGAAAACAATTGTTAGGTCCAAATCATGTTGATGTCGCTTCATGTTTAAATAATCTTGGTACGGTGTTTGCTGAAACTGGAAACTACGACAAAGCTAAAGAGTTTTGCCAAAATGCTCTGGAAATTCGAAAGCAATCGTTAGGTCCAAATCATGTTGTTGTCGCTGCGTCTTTAGTCAGTCTTGGTGTGGTGTTGCATAAAACTGGAAAGTACGACAAAGCTAAAGAGTTTTACGAAAAAGCTCTGGAAATTCAAAAACAATCGTTAGGTCCAAATCATGTTGATCTCGCAATGTCGTTAAACAATCTTGGTTCTGTGTATGAGGAAACTGGAAACTACGACAAAGCTAAAGAGTTTTACGAAAAAGCTCTGGAAATTCAAAAACAATCGTTAGGTCCAAATCATGTTGATGTCGCTGCGCTTTTAAACAATCTTGGTAATGTGTTTAAAAAAACTGGAAACTACGACAAAGCTATAGAGTTGTATGAAAAAGCTCTAGAAATTACAAAACAATCGTTAGGTCCAAATCATGTTGATGTCGCTATGTGTTTAAACAATCTTGGTACGGTGTTTGAAAAAACTAGAAACTACCACAAAGCTTTAGAGGTTCACAAAAAAGCTCTGAAAATTCACAAACAATCGTTAGGTCCAAATCATGTTCGTGTCGCTAATTCTTTAAACAATCTTGGTGTGGTGTTTTATGAAACTGGAAAGTACGACAAGGCTAAAGAGTTTCTTGAAAAAGCTCTGGAAATTCGACAACAATCGTTAGGTCCAATTCATGTTGATGTCGCTGCGTCTTTAGAAAATCTTGTTATATTGTTTAGAACAACTGGAAACTACGACAAAGCTATAGAGTTTCACGAAAAAGCTAAGGAAATTCGCAAGAAAAACGTTAGGAACTAGTCTGGTTGGTGTCGTTAAGTCTTTTAAATAATCTAGGTGTGATGTATTATGAAACTCAGGAATATATCAATACTTTACAGTTACGCTTAGGTAGCTACATGTTTCAAAGGAAACTGTGCCTTCCAAGTTATGTTATGCCTATTTTTAACACATAGACAGTAGGAGCAAGGCTTCCATCTTCCAAGTCAACTCCCCTCTTTCTCAGAAGGTATTTTTGGTACTGAACAAAACGTTTGCAGTTTGTATTTTGTGAGGTAAAATGAACCTAAACATGTAATGGTCCTTGTCTATATGTAGTTTCACTAATATCTAGTCAATAAACTTACTCTACAGCCCAGGAATCATCCTAAGTAGAACTTAGAACTGCCTATGCCCTGAATCTGACATTCTCCTTAAGACTTTATTTCTAAAGTAATTTGTTTCTATGTTATAACCAAGTAGTAATTTTTATTTTATGATTCACAAACATACCAAAGTATATTGGGATGACACAATTTTATGACATAATTTTTGTTAAATAAATACTATCCTGTTACTTTTTCATATTCTTTGTAACATTTAGTAATATTTTACCCACCTCCATAAGCCTATGACCATATTCCAGGTTCCTACAATTTCCAAGGGGCACTCCTTTCATACCATACATTCCACACCACAAAGCTGCAGCCAATATTCCTGTACCGTTACTATCTCCACCATGAAACATAGAGTAAGAACACAATTTAAACCAGGTATCTTTTGACATCATCAAAGCATTGTCAGCAATCATTGGTGAATCATGACCACTGGACCCACCCCAATCTGCCTAACTCACAGATTTATAAAAAGCATCACGTTCAGGTATGTTATATATCACTGGAAACTTTGGTTTACTGTTTCCATTCATTAATCCCGTAGTTCAAGATTTTATTCTTTCTTTTTGATAAAAACTGAGAAGTCCTACCTGAACCAACTTTTTGCAAGTAGCTTTTTTAAAGCATAGGCTGTAAATTAAGGTGCAGTAATAGCCCCTAGACAGACTAACGACAAAATATTATCTTTAAAGGTAATATTTTGGTGACTCTATCGCCTCTGATATAAAATCAGACGTAATGTTCAAAACAGTGCACCTATACATTTGATTTCTTACAACGTTGAAAAGGGTGCATGCACTTACGTTCAATTTAGGACAAACACTTTTTTTGTGAAGCTGTATGTGACAGTTGCATCTTTTCAAAGAAATCAATCCAGTTATTTTACAAAAAAAGGTTTTACCTTGACGTGTTACTTTAACGTATCAGTTTTTCCGCTTCATAGATCTGTTGTATTGATCACTTTCACAAAGTTTTCCATTAACAATGAATTCGTACACAACGCGGTTGACCACTCCACCAGCAGCCTCTGTCAATGGTACTCTTTCTTCAACGGAATTTTTGCTTTACACAACGCTGTAAGATTCCGCGACAGTTTCACTGCTTTTTTTGTCAAAGACGTTCCATATACCAGTTTTTTAAAAAGTTCAGAGACAAGTTCGTTTCCTTGCACACATTGTTTCATGAACAACGGTAACGTTTTCAAAACAGCATACGTTTAGCAAATCTGACCAGAAACATACTGTGTTCCCCAGATCATATTCTTCAGAGTAGCATTGCTGGTCTCAAACAAAAATGTTGATACAGCCATAGTGGTCCGCACATGTCAGTACTCTTAGCCAGGTGAGACAGCTGGTGAACATTAAATGTACAATGAGAAACACCACACAGCTGTTCCATCTTCACAATAAACAGATCAGCTGCAGCTTTAACTTTTTCCAAGTCATTTTTTGAAATAGAAGCACCAAAGAGCTTTTGAAGACCCCACACGAACCGGAAAAAATGTTTGAGGTACGGTGCTGGAAGAACTCCTTGATGTTTATTAGTGAGTAATACAAAACAAACGTTTTGTATTCATTAGCTTTCCAGTGTTTGCGTGTAGTTATAGATCTCGGAAGCCGTCGTACTTCTTTGGAACAACGATGTTCTTGATTAGACTGTCATAAATTGTTTGTTTGGAAGGCTGTCCAATGTGCTATGGGCTTTCGTGGCTACTGCTGTCAAACCAAAGAGATAAAAGTTGACGTGCCACTCCAAATAAAGCACTATGTAAAAAGTGAGGAACAAAACCATTAACCATGTCAAAGTGACTAACCTTTAAAAGCATACTTTGCCCTTTCACACCCATTATTGCAGTTTTCTTTTCTAAAGCTTTTAATGCCCACAAATGGGGAAAAAGAATTTATTATTCTTTGCACTTTTCACATCTCTTGGCACATAGCATGAGCACTTTTTAATCACTTCACACATGTCACTTGGGCCAAAGTAAAATGAGCACTCCCAACAAAAGTAATGGTGTACAAAACTTTGGTGATAGAACATTTTATAAAAGAGGTACTTTGTTTTAGGTACAACATTTGGTAAATGCAAGTTCATAATTTTCAGAAAGTCACTTAATGCTTCATCTTTCAGTTGGTGTTTCATGACAAATGACATCAAAAGAACAAGAGACTGATTGTGCGTCAAAACTGCATCTTTGTATACAGGATGGTTTCTGCCACTCTCAAAACCATAATTTTGCTCTTCACCACACCTTGTACTACCAAGGGAATCATCCACGTCATCACTAAAATCATTTGCAAGTTCAGCAGTTTCTTCAAAATGATCAGTACTTTCTTCCGAAACATCATCCGGCATGTCAGTGTCAGAGAAATGTAGAGCATAATGGATAATCGGGAAAAAGTAAAAAAATAGAAGACTGGCTGCTCCATCACTACAAGACCAGTACGTTTAACACTTGTGAGCAACAACAACTGTCATTCATAAAAGGTCCAACAATGCGACTCATGATTGACCCAAATGTAAGACCTAAGCACACCATACGCCAATCCCAGTCCCTCCACACTGGCAGGACGAAGTGAAATCTGGCCTTAACCAAGACGTGGCCCTCGGCGTGATTGAACCCGTCCCAATCGGCGAGCCTGTCACCTGGTGCCACAGGATGGTCATCTGTGCAAAAAAGTACGGTAAACCACGACGAGCTGTTGACCTACAGGCACTAAAGGCAAATGTTACTAAGGAGACCCACCACACCCAGAGCCCTTTTCACCAGGCCCACTCTGTCCCCAGTGGCAAAAAGAAATCAGTATTCGACTGCTGGAACGGTTATCACAGCGTTCCCTTCACCCAGACGACAGACACCTCGCCATCTTTATCACTCCCTGGGGTCGCTATCGGTATAAGTCAGCGCCACAAGGGTACATTGCCTCGGGGGACGGTTACTCACGCCGATTCGATGAGATTGTATCACACCTTCCAAACAAAACCAAATGCATAGACGAAATACATTTCATAATACACTAAATACACGAAACTGTCAACGATGGTATTTTCAAATCAGCGAATTTATGTGGATGGCTGCTTATGAGACAATATTTCGAGCTGTTACCAATGGTTTTTACATAAATGCACCTATAAGATCCTCGCTATATTTAGTCAGTTTATAAATGATTATTTGCTTTTCGATTTATCTATATTGTTCTCGTAAAAATCTTAATGGTTTTTATTGATGCTACTGATTTTAGGTTTGATTTTTCAATGTGACATTGGTCATTACTATGCAATGAATACAAATACACTAAATTTGCCATCTGTCTCAAATACACCATGTGCTTGGGGGCACAGAGGTACAGTTTTCACAGCTTGTGGTGTTGACTTGCAAAGAGCGAAAGCCGTAATTGTCTTCTGATCAATTTTTACGACTCCCTGCGATATTTTTAGCAGTTGAGAAACCTCATGGCAAAGAGAATGCCTTTAAATCTTCTCTTAAGCAAGGTATAGGACTGCAAGATTCAATGAATGCTTGGACAAAATTGAAGTCTACTTTCTAAATTGATTATCGTGTCATTAATCTTACCCTACCACATCATGTTTCGTTATTTTGCATAACGACATTAAAACAAATGCCCAAATAACGTTTAGCAAATGCCCAAATTCTAAAGAGAAATTTTGTAAAACTTTATTTTTTAACTTCAGCTTTGCTTCTGTATATCCGTAGATTTAGGGAAGCACAAAAAATTAACTTGTCAACTTTTGAAACTTAAATTTGCTTTTATTACTTTTATCAGAAGCATTCTTTCTCTTCTCTCCAGTTTGTATCGTCTTAATAATATGGCTTTACATATTCATAGACATTGCCAAATTTTGCAGGACATATTTAATAAACAATCCCACACAATATTCGTAAAACCATGATTTGCCATAAAAACGTCGTGAAAAAATATCGTTATCAACTTATCAATAAACCGTCGGTCGAAAACGTTAGGCTAGAATTTTATTGGACCACTACATGACTTAGAAATGCTATGGAATTTATCGAGTAAACTCAAAATAGATTACTTTTGGTTGCATTCGTGTATTTCTGTTTGTGTTGTGCTTCTGCGCATGCATAAAATAACCTTTTATAAAGTTAAGTAATGGAAGCTGTTGTTTTTATGCAGTAAACGACCGTTGCATGTTGAAATTTAGCAAACATGAAAGGACATTTGAAAACGTGAGACTCTATCGTTAGAAATTAGACTTTAAATTCGTATTGGTGAAACATAGTGTGTCTTTGTCGTAGACTCGTAGTGCAACACTTTGTTAGTAACCAATGATAATTCAGGGTTACGCATTAGCAACAATGAGATGGATGTTAGTAACGTTAGTAACGTCAAGTTTTGAAAAAGTAACAAATGTTTAATTTATGCACGCCGCATGATCAATTACAAACGTGTAATGAATGAGTTAGTGGTCAAGAATACTTGTATAAGAGTTTGTGTGCACTTTGTTTACCAGAAGCAATCTCAACTTGAAGGGGTAAAATGCCAACGACAAACAACATGGTACATGTGCCATTTCTTTAAGCCTTGACAAATCCTTAAATCGAAACCTCACTAAAATTGCAATGTCAACATAGTTCTAACTTTCAAAAACAAAAAGAAATAACTTTTCTGAAGTTCTTGACATGTTTAGAAGGTTCACTTTAGGGATAGTCATGGGAGGAAAAACTTTGCATAACATCAATATTTACTGAGAGAATTACTATGTACCATCTCTGGTCAAATGTAAAGTTTGCATAAATTAACCAATATTCTTGGCAGAGATTGAATTTTCATATTTTCAAAAAAAATCACATGAGTTGAAAAGGAACATTTAACCACAGTATAGAGAATATACAGTAGAGCCACTCCATTGAATTTTTCGTGCCACGCATATCTTATTACGCATGTGATTACCATAGTGGCAGCCAGTAATTTGCATTGTGTGACCAATAGGATTGACGATATGGCAAACGGCAGCCAGTAAACTAAGAGCCTGTTCACATGAACACGGTAACAGGAATTTAGCAAGGCGTAAAATGTTTTAAGTCATTGAAAAGAGTTAAAGCTTTAAGCGCAAAATTTACAAAGGTTTTGTGAATTTCCAAAGTCATAGTACAGGGAAATTGCTCAAATAACATTTTTGTTGTGAAGGATTTAATTTTTTCCATTT